AATCAAAGAGGTTGATGGAGCTGTTGGTCTAACACAAAGTCCAGAAGCCCTTTGGTGCTGGACAATAGCAGGACCAGAGGTGGCCAGGTTGAGAGGAGAATTTGAAGCCACAGCGGAGAAAGGAGCCCCCTGAAAAAGTCTAACACAAAGCAGCATGAGAAGGTGAAAGGTGCCTCGGTTTCTCTTGCATGACATGTGAAAGCACTTGTTGAGGTCACAGAGGACATGGGCAACCCTTTCTCAGAAGAGAGTGTAGACTTAGTTAAACTGGCCAGCAGAGATATTGCAGACCCTGTTGTGATTGTGTTATGGAGGTTGGAAAATCAGGCCGCAGCGGAACACCATGTTTGTAACAGAGATCGCAAGACAAAACAAAGCCGTCATCAGAGGCTAGCAAGTGAAACAAACTGCCCTTGTTCGGCAGCCCCCAGCAAGGGAGACCTCAAGACCAAATTGCAGTTTTCCTCCTTGACAAATGACTGCTCCCCTTTTCTGACCTGTACATACCTTGCCAAACACATGATGGTCACCGGGATATTTCTCAGTGTGAGAATCAGGCATGCTCCCTTTCATTGTCTTAGATGGGCAAACTACACATTGGCAAGCAGTCTGACCTGATGGCTATTCTGGAAGGGCTAAGTTCAGCAGCAAGGTATGCCTCCGGCAGTAGATGCCATAGTTTTTGATGGGGCAGCTCTTGTGAAGATGTTGAAGCCCATTGCTAGCAACACATTTGATGACGATGCTATGAACATTTTTATTCCCTACTTCAAGACACAACTGCAGTGTTGCAGGAGGGTGGGATGTTTGCATTCCACATAGTCTCAAGGTCCAGATCAGAAGCAAGATCAGAAGGGAGTCAAGAGGAGCACCAAGCCTTGCATCCCTCTACCACTAAAACTGGCAAGAGTTTCTGCGCATTGATGAAAATAAAAATGAATCTGCTGCTTCCTTGCATAGTCTATTACACAGTTAGCAGTAGAAGGTAAAGAGCTAATCGCCACGGATGGTCAAGATGGGGATTTGATAGCTGCTTTCAACTACCTGAGAGGTGGTTCCAGAGAGGATGGTTCTAGACTATTCTCAGTGGTAGAAGAGGACAGGACAAGGAGTAATGGTCTCAAGTTGCAGTGGGGGAGGTTTAGGTTGGATATTAGGGAAAACTTTTTCACTAAGAGGGTGGTGAAACACTGGAATGCGTTACCTAGGGAGGTGGTAGAATCTCCTTCCTTAGAAGTTTTTAAGGTCAGGCTTGACAAAGCCCTGGCTGGGATGATTTAATTGGGGATTGGTCCTGCTTTGAGCAGGGGGTTGGACTAGATGACCTCCTGAGGTCCCTTCCAACCCTGATATTCTATGATTCTATGTACACCGCAGCCCTGCCTGTGACAAGACCAGCCTTTCCCCAGGCAACCACGAGGGAGCAAAAAGCAGAATGCTGCTCCTGTATTCAGTCAAAGAGGTACTCCAGTTCTCATATGCACAGTTGACACCGATGGCATAGTCCTTGCTGTCACATATGTGCAAAGACCTCAGATCCCTGCACTGTGGATTGGACTTGTACCTGCCCATGAGACAGCTTCTTCACTCGGCCTAAGCAAGTCAAAGGCATTCCCAGTGTTTCATGATGATACCGGTTGTGACACAGCATCTGCTTTTGCTGGAAGAGGAAAGAAATCTCCATAGGAACCCTGGCAGGCATCTGTCCCCTGCTTTCATGGGTTTGTCAGCTGCACCACAATCCACAGCGGACGGAACGATGTCTCTGCTGCAGTGCCCTGTGGTGCCTCTGCATGACAGGACAAGTGGCACAAACGCTGCTGAGACAAGGGCAGAGCTATGGAATCCCTCCACTGACCAAACCTGCTCTGGTTCAGCACAGTGAGCGAGCTGCATACCAAGCAGGATGCTGCTGGGGTCAGACTCCTGAACTCCCCTCCCCAAGGAATGGAGATGGGCCTGGGGGCACTGAGGGATGGAGCCCACTGTGGACAACCCTCCCAGAAGCACATGATTATTGTCATGAACTCCTAAAATGGGGCTGCAAAATGGGGTGCCAGGCAAGGTGCAAGCATGGCAAGGCAGCACTGAGCTGGCTGCCCTGTGCCCTTGTGGTGGGGAGTGCGATGTTTGAACATACGGAAGACTGTGAAAGAGACTTTCTTGTTTCTTATTTTGTTTTAGGCTGCCTGTTTACGTACACTGCCTTTTCAACCTTTGAGACACAGCAATATCCTGATATTCCGAGATCAATAGAGAATATTGTTATTGGCAAGGAGAAATGTAACTTTCAGTTTGTGAACAGAAACTCGTAAATGTTCTGTGTTATTTTTCTATATGATTAATATTTTAGTAAATATTCCCTGGTGATGTGCTACAGGGCATGTACTAAAATATCAAGAACTAATAATCTCAAGCCGTTGCAATTCATTGCTTTCTTTTTCAGGATACCTAAGACAATAGGAGTATAAATGTCCAAAAATAAAACCCCACTGGAATGGTTTAATTCAATAAACGATCACTATCAGAAAAAAACAGCAGTAGGGAAAAAAATGAATTCTGAATTTAAAATGGCTGCCACAGCCAACATGGCATGGCATGAGTTGGTGATGACTTGCTATCTGGGAGGGATAGCTCAGTGGTTTGAGCTTTGGCCTGCTAAACCCAGGCTTGTGAGCTCAATCCTTGAGGGTGCTATTTAGGGATATGAGGCAAAAATTGGGGATTGATCCTGCTTTGAGCAGGGGTTGGACTGGATGACCTCCTGAGGTCTCTTCCAACCCTGATATTCTATGATCTTTATTAGGTCATGCGCTAAGGTTATGGCAAATTTCACGCTTTTATCAAAAACACACAATTCTTTTACAAATCTGATTGGCTTTTGGGCCCCAATTCAGAAAGGCACTTAAGCCCATGCCCATACCTGGGGTTGTTAGTAAATGGGAAAAGGTTCAAACAAAAGTTTCAAGGATGATTCTAGGTCTGGAAAAGACTGAAGCACCCAGTCTGTTTCATTTACCCAAGAGAAGCTTAAGAGGTGACTTGATGATGGTCTATAGTGAGTTTCTGAAAGTCAAAAGTCCTTGAATCTAGGAGACAAAGGCAGAGCAAGCTCCAGGGGCTGGAAGCTGAAGCTAGACAATTCCAGACTGGACATATGGTGCAATTTTCTTAACAGGAGGATAATTAAACATTGGAACAACTTACCCACCCCCTCTCCCTAAGCTTCAGCGCCCAAGCTCCAGCCCCAGCCACAACTTCAAAGCACGTCTCTAAAGCTGTTTTCAGAGTGCTAGTATGAGCCCCACTAGCCCAAGTCTGTTGACCCGGATCAGGAGGCTTACTCCAAAACTCTGTGTAAATGGACCCATACGGACAGTAGGGTCTGAGGCTGAAGGAAGGGCGATAGTAACTGCCATCAGGGTGTGCACTTGCTTAACTCAGCTCATGGTGGTTCTGCATTTTCTAAATGGGTTTGACACCATTTATGTCAAGGGATGAGGAGGGTCAAATGGGTTCCCAAAGGAGGTGTTTTAAGGAGACACTTGGAGAAAGACAGTGAGGGGAAAATGTACCGTATCAATATTCTAACTACAGCTTCTTGACACAGCTCCAGCAGAGAGCTCGAGCATGACACCTGGCATGGACATAAGCTATTTGCAGTCCTCCATGGGGCCTTTCTTTGTTTGGGTTTGATTTAGCAAAATTATAGCTTACAACTGCTGGGAAATTCTGTATTGAATACAGTGTAGAAAATGTTACAGCTACAGGTGCCACTTGGGGCCTACAACTCTCTCATGTGAGCAGTCTCATTTCACGTTTTACTTGCATGAGTAAAGGATGCAGGATTGGGCCCTTTCAGGCTGATTAGGCCTCAACTGGAGTTTTGTGTCTAGTTCTGGGCACCACATTTCAGGAAGGATGTGGACAAATTGGAGAGAGTCCAGAGAAGGTGACTAAAATGATTAAAGGTCTAGAAAACATGACCTTTGCAGGAAGATTGAAAAAATTGGTTTTGTTTATTCTGGAAAAGAGAAGGTGGAGAGGGGACATGATAACCATTTTCAAGTACATAAAAGGTTGTTACAAGGAGGAGGAAGAAGAATTGTTCTTCTTAACCTCTGAGGATAGGACAAGAAGGAATGGGCTTAAATTGCAGAAAGGGAGGTTTAGGTTCGACATTAGGAAAACCTTCCTGACTGTCAGGGTGGTTAAGCACTTGAATAAATTGCCAAGGGAGGTTGTGGAATCTCCATCATTGGAGATTTTTAAGAGCAGGTTAGACAAACACCTGTCAGGGATGGTCTAGATAATCCTTAGTCCTGCCATGAGTGCAGGGGACTGGACTAGTTGACCTCTCGAGGTCACTTCCAGTCTTATGAGTCTATGAGAGTTGGTGATTTAAGTATCTAATCTTCATGTGGCATTAGGGCAGGTTTTTTAAGACCTTGTGGCCCAAAGTTTCCAGGCAGCACTGGGGATCTATGGGGGTCCTGACAAAGCACCTGGTTTTATGAGCTGATGACAGACCCCATCACAAAGCCTCCCTCTTTGGATAGCACCTACTGTGGTTACTCTCACTTGGCATTTTCTATTCTGGTCCTGAATCCATGACAGTAAATGATTGGGGACAGATATATAAATTGGTGCCTCTCCACTGTAGTCAATACTGATACAAACTAGGGATCTGGCTCTACTCTGCAAGCTTTGGAAAGCTCTGATATGGGGTTGGGGTGTCATACAATCACACCCCATATGACACCCCAACCCCATATCAATCACACCCTGTATAGCACCCAAGCATAACAGCCACTGGCCTGGTGAAATGTGAATCCTTGGGAAGGACCCTGGCTGGCCAAGCCAGGCCTAAGCGCTATGCAGGAGAAGGGATCAAATTTCCTGGGACCAGACCATTGACATGGTCACTGAGTCAAGTGGTTTATCCGGCCTGGGAAAGGGGCCCAGACTACTGGAGCAGAGAGTGTTAACGCTTTGCTTACATATACTGCTGCTTGTAGTTTTTGCCAACGTCAGGGGATCGAATCTTCTGCACTAACATTCGGATCACATTCAGGAATATGAGGAAGTTCATCTTGCAAAAGGAAGAGAAGGTTTGTCTCAGCCTCGAAATAGAACTGACCACCCGACAACATTCCCAAAACCCGCAGGCTGGACTCCTCCATCTCCCTGCAGGTATCCCAGCCTCCCAGGCAGGCTGCCCATCCCTTCTCACGGCACTCGCCTGGCAACCCGCGCGTTTACAAAGCGAAACACCCTGCGGCATACTCACGAAGATGGCAATGAGAATGGGGGCCTTGATCACCCACCAGTACAGACTGGCATAGTCATCCCAACACCTAGGAGAGAGCAGGGAAAGCACAGAAGCATTACCAACTCATTGTGCTTTTGCTCCCTGCGGCAGGGGTTCCCGCGAACAGCTCCAGCCTCCATGTGATTTTGGAGCTAATATTGACACTCACGCTGTTCTGGATGCCTCGGGGTGCTGCTAACGAGCTACAGAGCCTTTCAGCTGTCAGTCACCAGCCCGAATCCAGTCCAGCTCAGTAATGGTTAGCAGCCGTTCCCAGCTAATGGCTGTTTGGTGGCCCCTGTATGAGTCTGACAACTCTCAGCCTTATCCATCATGCTGCAAAGTCGCCGCCATGTTTTGCACAAGTCTGTAAGCTCTTCAGGGCAGGGACTGTCTGTGTCTGTGTGTGCACATGTGCCCGCATGTAGTGCCTGCACAATGAGATCTGTGTTGGGTCCTACAGTGAGACCTCCTGCAGTGGGAGCCACAATTGCCTTGCACGCTATCCATTTGTGAGTTGGTGGTGGAGTAATTGTCACACACACGGGAGGGGAGGGGGGAGTTCAAAACTCAGACAGAACAAAACACACAAGTGAATCTTTTTTAAAAACCTCACTATTTTTTAGCCAATTTCATGATTTGGCGGAGGTGGGAGGAGGAAGAGAGGGCTCCACTCATGATGACACTGTCAACACTTGGGAAAGTCCCTCCAAGCCCGACCCAGGACAACTAGGAATGTTAGAGAGGCAAGAAAAATGAAACACGGCGAGATGAGCTGTCACAAAGTGGTAGAAAGGGAGGGGCGGGGTCTGAAATGAGTGGGGGAAGGGTCAGGGAGGTAGGCATGGCCACCACTGGCAATGGGCTGAGGAGTGGGCATGACCATCTAGCTAAACTGCCGGGAGAGTCACGTCATTTTCACGTTGCCAATTTTTTCACCATAAAACCAAAGGTTCAGGTGTGAAAAGGCAGCCCAGCCCCCTGGGAAAGTAACATGGGGCCAGTCCATTAGCAGTACTGCTTAGGGCTTGTCTACACAGGGAATCTGACAGGCACTGCTGTAGCGGAATAGCTATTAGTCCATCTCAAGCGCCCTTTTTCTCAAAAGTCATTAGTGGATCCCCACAATCACCCCGCGAGGTAGACCAGCGTTATCCCTGCTGTACAGGCCAGGGTCTTCTTTTCAGGGAAGCCCCTTGACACTGCGCTGGTACTTTAATTCATTCTCGCATGGCCAGCACGGCATAAAGGGGCTGAGATTACATGAAAAACCAGCCCAGCAAGTTTAAATGAGTGCCCATGTTCTAACTACAAAGCTTTGCAACGCTTCGAGGCTGGGACGCTGTCCCTAGTATGTCTGTGTGTACAGTGCGCATCATGATGGGGCCTGATCCTGACTGGGGCCTGTGGGCACCACCAGAACAGAAAATAGAGACTAATAAAGCATTGTCCCTCTCTCCTCCCTTCCTTCATTCTGCTGGTCAGTTTGGGCAGCCCCCAGGATCCATGGTCGCGCTGGGGTGGCAGGAGCCCAGGGTGAAATGCTGGCCCCATTGAAGTCTGTTAACAAAGCCCTCATTGGCTTCAGTGGTCTACAATGCACCTAGCAGCAAGCGTCCCAGCCCGGGCCCACAGGTTCACATTAGTGCTCTAAAAACAGTTGTCTAGATGCTGTGGCTCAGGCTCCAAAGCCTTGGAGGTGCGGGGAGGTGTCGGAGCCCAAGCTCTAGCCTGAGCTATGTCCAAGCAATGCCTACATTAGAGCACTTGGACTAGCCCCAGATCTTGGATCTAGGCTGGGAGGTTGCCCAGCGAGACCAGGATCTCATGCACAGGACTTAGAAGCCTTGGCATGGTCTCTGAAATGCTGGATCAGGCTGCGGGGGGGGTCTTGGGAGACATTCCTCTTGACAACGGAAATCAGTTTTTAGCTGTCAGAGCAGGAAACCCCCTTGGATTAGCTGTTGGAGCAGCGCACCCCCACCCCTGGGGTGTGTAATGGCTGCTCTCTAGACCTGGAGGCTCCATGTCGCTCATCTGGCTCCAGTCATGCCCCACGGGACCTGAGCTCATTTGGGACGCACAGGTTTCAATGATGCCCCTAGATAAAGGGGCTGGGCGCTGGGCGGTTCTTACCCATGGTTGTCGTATTGTAGCCGGGCGAAGATCCACAAGCTCACAATGAGCAGAGGTACGCCTGCAAGGAAAGAGGCCAGTTGTTCTCCCACAGGTGGTGGAGTCCTACCATGACTGAGCAGGGAGCTGCCATGCCACACGCCCCCCAACCCAGCACGGATAACAGATCCTGACAAATCCACAGCATTTCCATCTCCATTGGGAGAGAGGCTCTCCCGCCCCCCTCTGCCCACCGCAGACCTGGTGTCAGGGAACTTGTTGCTCAGGGAATGCTTCCCACGCTGCTCAAAGCTTGAGCCTCTTGGTGTGGAGGCATGGGACATGGTGGGGCATGCGTGGGCAGGATGACGTGGAGGTACACTCTTCCTGCTGATGGCTGTGCCGACCGCTGGGGAGCTGGCAGAAGAGGTTCACGATGCCAGGCAGCCACCACCCAATCAAAAAAGGCAGCGATACATGAAAGGACTCAGACATGACAGCATGGTCCAGTGGTTAGAGCAAGAAGCTGGGACTTAGGAGCGGAGGGGTTGTCCCACTGACTTGTCCTGTGACTCATTGCTGAACCATTCTGTGCTTGTCCTTCCACCTGATCCAGTATGAGGCACCTAACCCTGGCCCTGCACACAGCTCCTGGCTCTGATCCCAGCAGCTGCATCTTCTCCTGTTAGCAGTTGCATGCTCCTCTGTCCATGATGCTGAACATGGGATTCATCTACCTATCCCCATACGCTCGCCTGCCCCATCCATCCCCACACACACCCATCCATCTACTCTGATCTTCTTTTGTGAAGCATGTTGAGATCTTCAGATGGTTGGTGGCTGAAAAATCTGCAGTATTTTCATCTGTCCTGACCCCCGCTGTGACCCTGCCCTATACACAGGCCCTTGATGTACTACATCCCCTCCAGCAGCACCTGGGTCCTTTGTTGTGCTGGGTCAGGAGTGGGGCTTGAAGGTTTTAGAACAAAAGGTTTTTTTCATTGAAAAAACAGCCTTTTACCAAATTCTTTGTGATAGATTGTCACCATTAGCAATGCTGTCTGGTTTGCATGACAATTTTAGTGACTTCTTTGTCTACGCTTTTTTCAAAATCATCATGGACATTTTTCATTTATCAATTCTTTAACAAGCGAAATATTTCAATAACAATTTCTATCAAAATGTCAATACAAAAATGTCATGAAAAACAAAAAGTGGGCCCATTTTAGACTCCCTGCAGCAAAACCAACTTCAGCATTTCAAATATTTTTGAGAAACTGTTTCCCCCCGCCATTTTCCCCCACCAGCTCCAGCCAGTGGGTTTGGCCCACACCTAGCCCACCCTGTGAAAAAACAGTCAACCTAAAGAAAGGTGGGCTGTCTCCAGAAGAGAACTCATACATTATGGTAGCATCCAGGGGTCCCAGTTGCTAGACGGTTTACAAATATCTTTGCTCCAAAGATCCAGGGAGAAACCCTGGCTCGATGGAAACCAATGACATAACACCAGTTGTTCTATTTAGATAATTACATGCCCCCCTAATTAACAGAGTTTTTATACATACACCTCACAAGTCCCCTATGAGGCAAGGCTATTATCCTTATACACAGGTGGGGAACTAAGACCCAAAGAGACCACACAATGCAGAGACACAGCAAGGAGTTGAACCTAGCTCTCTGGAGTCTCAGACTAGCCCCCTAGTCACTGGCCCATCCCTTGCTCTGCTTCCTTCAGTGGAACCAGTCTAACAAGGCATGTGACAAAGATTCAGTGGCGGGAGCCACCTTTGGTAGAGAAGCAGGCAAACAACAGATTTTTTTTGGCTCATGGGAAATTAAAAAAAAAAGTCAGGGAAAAAATTTCAGGCTGAACCAAAAATGACTCAAATTCACAAGACATTTTGGCATTGCCAAATCTGCATTTTTTTCTCTCCCCTGAATAAAAGTTTTGTACAAAAAAGTTTCAGCTCTGCTTTGGTGTACAATTGTCAGCTAATGGGCTGCTCTGGGAAGATTCCTAGAACCTTTGGTCCTTCTTTAATGGTCCTCGCTATGGACATCCCGGGTTTAGTGCATTTCATGAGCATTCGCTTTACTCACCCCAGCCGATGAGGGTGTACCACCAGAAATACCTCTTGTCAGAGGTGAAGGTGAACAGCAGCAGTGTTTGCAGGTACATCCCCTCCACGAGGAGCCAGTAGAAGTTGGCCAGCACTGAGTACTGGAAGAAGGCAATGGCCGCTTTGCAGTTCACCTAGCGAGGGAGAGAGGAAAAGGTTCACATGGGCTCTTCTCTGCACCTGTTCACCAGCAGGTTGATGTGGGAGCACCATGCCAGCTCTGGCCCTGGAAGGAGCCAACCCCATCTGCTGAGCACCCTCTTACCGTTGACATGGTGCAGTGATTGATGGACTCATCCGCGAAGAGCACGGAGTCTTTGATGAACACGGCAGCTCCCCGCATTATGAAGGAGGTGAAGAAGTGGATGTGGATGGAATTCCTGGTGCAGTGAAGCTTCCTACAGAAAGAAGAGGATCCCAGTGATTTGGGGCAGGCTCTGCATTCTTTGTGGCAAACAGGTGGCAGGCTTGCCACGGCCTTCAACCCTAAGGGCCCAATTCAGCACAGCCCACAGGAGCTTGTGAAGCTGCCCCAGGGATGAATTTGACATGAAATGTGATTGAGATGGATACAACACCGAGGGCCATTACTTCATAGAGTTTAAGGCCAGAGGGGACCATTAGATCATCCAGTGCGACCCCCTGCATAGCACAGGCCGTTACATTTCACTTTGTTCCCCATGTTCTGAGCTCAATGACATTAGCTAGACTAAAGCATTTCAGTCCTCACAACAGTGAGCAGTTGTGCAGCACCAGCAGAGACCTGGGAATGGACTAGGTGAGATATATCTGATGATCCCTGCAGTCAATCCATGCCCCAGGCTCCAGAGGAAGGTACCCTTTCCCCTCTCTCCCCGAATATCCCTCCATTCTGCTCTGGGGAAAATTCCTCCTGACCTCAGATCTAGCAGCTCAGTTTGCCCCTGATCATGTGAGCACGACCCAGCTAGGCATCTAGGCAAAGGATTTTCTGAACCATCTCAGAGTACTGGCCCACCCCGTCTGGTGTCCTGTCGCCAGCTGTGGCCAATCCCCAATTCTCCAGAGGAAGGCCAAAAGAACCCAAACGTATCTGGCCCATTGTGCATGGGATGGGGAGGGAGGAATCCTTCCTGATCCCTACAGGTGCCCAGCTGAAGCCTGCAGACCTTGTCTAAGCAAGTGCATCTCTACTGACTGCAAAAGTTGTCGCCCCACTTACCGCAGGGTGGAATTGGATCCAGTGAGAGCAAAGGAGATGGTTGTTATTGCTGAGCCCGGGGCACAGTGAACAATCTCTGTTCCACTCCCTGAGGCGAATTAGACCCAATCAGCTCCTCCGTGCACACAACAGAGCTCTGTGCCATGCTCTTCCCAGGCTGAGCAGTGCTGGGCTACAACCAGGCTCAAGTGGCTGGTGGCGGAGTACCCAGCCAATACAGTGGAACCAAGTGATGGTCCATAGGAATGTCACCATTGGAGCATCGACTGCATGCCGGCCCCTGGTTCTTGGCACCATGATGCTGCCTGGGGCTGTTTCGCGTGATACTCCATCTTGGTCCTGTGCTCTGATGGCCATACCCTATCTCCACTCACTTCCCCTGCAGCCCTGCTCTTGGTGTCCTGTGCATGTGGAGCGCATAGTTTGGGGATGGCGGGGGACAGAGCACAAGTGCGTTTTCTGAGGACAAGAGCTTTAGTAGGGTTCCAAGAGCACTGGATGGTCAGAGATAGGGAGAACTCCCACCGCTCTGTCAGCGAGGACGGAGCACCTAGAAGCTTGGGAAGGGATGTAAACCTTCCTTCTCCAGAGCACTGTCCAGCCTCTGACTGAAGGGACGTCAGAGCTGGGTCGTAGGCGGCCAGCCTAGTAGCTAGAGCCAGAGCCAGACTTCAGGAATTGGAGTAGTGGTCAATCTGAGGTTAGGAACCAGTGGCCAGTCTCAGGAGCCAAGGCCAAGTCAGGAGTCGAGAGTCGGGGCCGGGAGATAAGGCTGAGGTCACAGTCAGAAGGAGACAGGAGACAAAGCTGGGTCAGAAAGCAGGCGGCAGAGCCAGGAGGGAAAAGGCAAGGTCAGGAACTAGAAGCAGGATCTGTACCAGCAGCTAGTTGGGGAACCACCTATTTGCACAGACAAATTTCCTGTAGCCACCCCAGGCTTAAGTAGTATGTATGGGCCAGTCAGGAATGGCCTGTCAGTTAGGCCCACCATGGGTGGCATGTCCTAGGGTGTGGGCCACTAAGGCTCATGACCTGCCAAGTGCTTCCACTACCACAGCTGTTGATGCTAGCATGGAAGTGGTTGTTCCCTGGAGAATCTGCAGACCCAGGTTCTAGACCTGCTGCTCCTTACATCATGGCCGCCCTGGGGAATTGCTGGACTTTTGTGAAATGCTTCTATGACATGTACATGTTGAGCCAGTTCCCAGGACTGCTCCTCAGGACTGTACCCATCCCAGTCCACAAGATACCATGATTTACCCCACTTCATCTTGGAGCGCTGAATGACCCAGGCTAGGTATTCCTTATGGCCCAGGGAGAGGGGGGATGTGTTTGGCTGGGAAGCAGGTTTTTGTTGAATGGTTTCAAAAGGGAGATATGGAAAACAGGGTGTATTTTGAGCAGACTCAGCAAGCGGAGTTTAACAGTGATGGAGTAAATTAGTTGGCAAATCTGAAACAGTCTGAGATATCAGTGATCTCCTTTATGAAATGGTCGGTGTGAAGATGTTTGGTGGATAATCAAATCTCCTGGCCTACCTTGAGTTCTGTGTCTGCCTGTCTCTGGTGATCTTCCTATCACTTGTAGGCTTCCTTTGCCTCTGCCAGGTATTCCTTGAGTTCTTCCTGGAGATGGTGGATTTGCTGAACCATATCACAGGCTGCTGAGGTGTGGGAGGCAGTTGGGAGTATGGGATGAAATCCCTAACTGGTGAAAAAGGGGCTTTGACTTGTGGAAACATGGTCAGTATTGTTATATGCGAACTTGGCATACGGGAAGATAGTGGATTGAAACAACACTCCAGCACTTGGTTTACTCTGTTTGGCTGGGTGTGGTACACAGATGACATGCAGATACGGATGTTTAATAGTTGGAGAATCTCACACCAAAACCTGGAGATGAACTGGGAACCTCTGTCAGATGTTATGTGGTCAGGGATGAAAGACATGTGCAAACAAAAGTTGAGCTGTGGCTCTGGGCAGTTGGGTGCAAGGGATGAAATGTCAACAGGTCTACTACCATGAGCATAGTGATATATCCATTCAATTCAGGGAGTTCTTTGATAAAGTCCATGGTGGTTGTTCTCTAGGGTTGAAAAGGGGTTTCTAGGAGCATAAGGGTGCTGAAAGGTTTTATGCACAGAACTTTGGCATGAACATGTATATTGCAGGAGTTGACATTGGTCCAAATATTCATCTACTTCCTGGGCCAGCAAAAGAGGCGAGAGGTTAGACATAAGGTTTTAGAGAGACTGGAATGGCACACTGGGGGCATCATGGCATATCTGGAACACTTCTAACCAGGGGCACCTTTACAGGATGTAGATGCAGCAGCTAACATATCTTATTCCATCTATCATGGTATGCAGTCTCTTGGTATTACTTCCGGGTTGCTCTGGGGATGCTGCAACCTTCTGAGCCAGCAGGTCACTTTCAGAAGCCAGCCAGATCAGAGTAAGGAGATGCTGTTGCATTGCAGCACTGAGGAAGTTACGGGGTTTCAGGAGGAGGGACTTTTCCCCAGATAGGGGTTTCTTCCTCCTTGCAGTACTCCCCCTTGCGCAATAGGACACCCACTTTGCCATTCTTGGTTTCTAATTGATACATGGTGGTGAAATCAAAATGGGAAAAGAATAGTGCCCAACAGAGCTGTCTTTGGTTCAGGGCTTTGGTCTTGTATAAATATTCAAGGTTCTTGTGGTCTGTGTATACCTGTATTGGATACTGCCCCCCTCTCCCATCCCCCTCAAGGTAGTGGCACCACTCCTCAAACCTGAACCTGATTGTGAGTAGTTCTTTGTTGAGAATCTTGTATTTTTTTCCGGGAGGACAGCTTCATTATCTTAGAAAACTCATGGCGATTGGGGGAAGTCCCAGACGACTGGAAAAAGGCTAATGTAGTGCCCATCTTTAAAAAAGGGAAGAAGGAGGATCCTGGGAACTACAGGCCACTCAGCCTCACATTAGTCCCTGGAAAAATCATGGAGCAGGTCCTCAAGGAATCAATTCTGAAGCACTTAGAGGAGAGGAAAGTGATCAGGAACAGTCAGCATGGATTCACCAAGGGCAAGTCATGCCTGACTAATCTAATTGCCTTCTATGACGAGATAACTGGCTCTGTGGATGAGGGGAAAGCAGTGGACATGTTGTTCCTTGACTTTAGCAAAGCTTTTGACACTGTCTCCCACAGTATTCTTGCCAGTAAGTTAAAGAAGTATGGATCGGATGAATGGACGATAAGATGGATAGAAAGTTGGCTAGATTGTCGGGCTCAACGGGTAGTGATCAATGGCTCCATGTCTAGCTGGCAGCCGGTATCAAGTGGAGTGCCCCAAGGGTCGGTCCTCAGGCCGGTTTTGTTCAATAACTTCATTAATCATCTGGAGGATGGTGTGGATTGCACCCTCAGCAAGTTTTCAGAGGACACTAAACTGGGAGGAGAGGTAGGTACGCTGGAGGGTAGGCATAGGATACAGAGGGCCCTAGACAAATTAGAGGATTGGGCCAAAAGAAATCTGATGAGGTTCAACAAGGACAAGTGCAGAGTCCTGCATTTAGGACGGAAGAATCCCATGCACCGCTACAGACTAGGGACAGAATGGCTCGGCAGCAGTTCTGCAGAAAAGGACCTAGGGGTTACAGTGGACGAGAAGCTGGATATGAGTCAACAGTGTGCCCTTGTTGCCAAGAAGGCCAATGGCATTTTGGGATTTATAAGTAGGGGTATTGCCATCAGATCGAGGGACGTGATCGTTCCCCTCTATTCGACACTGGTGAGGCCTCATCTGGAGTACTGTGTCCAGTTTTGGGCTCCACACTACAAGAAGGATGTGGAAAAATTGGAAAGTCCAGCGGAGGGCAACAAAAATGATTAGGGAACTGGAACACATGAGTTATGAGGAGAGGCTGAGGGAACTGGGGATGTTTAGTCTGCGGAAGAGAAGAATGAGGGGGCATTTGATAGCTGCTTTCAACTACCTGAAAGGGGGTTCCAAAGAGAATGGCTCTGGACTGGTCTCAGTGGTAGCAGATGACAGAACAAGGACTAATGGTCTCAAGTTGCAGTGGGGGAGATTTAGGTTGGATATTAGGAAAAAAGGGTGGTGAAACACTGGAATGCGTTACCTAGGGAGCTGGTGGAATCTCCTTCCTTTGAAGTTTTTAAGGTCAGGCTTGACAAAGCCCTGGCTGGGATGTT